CGCAGAGATCAGTGACAGAGCGTGATGGAGCTATCTGTCAGATGTGAAGCAGCACAGGAAGTGTCAGCAGCCGCAGATGGATTCATAACAGCAACAACACTTCCTTTAGCTACTGCAGGTAAAATCCAGTCAGAACTGGTTCCAGAGGCAGAAAAGGAGCTCAGGCGTTTGTTAAAGTGAGAAAAGAGATGATGAGTCACTGACCTGAGGTCAGCTCTGGGTTTGTGTTACCACAGGTCACATCAGCTGATATCACGCCCTTGTCAGTTTAAAGAGGCAGATGGTGGTTCAGGTGGGGTCGTGTGGAGCGGGTAGGGTCCACACGACCCCACCTGAACCAGTCAGTATCTCACCTGCAGCAGGCCGAGCGGACCAGGGAGGAATTCCCACAGAGGAGTCGAGCGGATGCCTAATCAGAGCAGGAGCAGTGATGCTTCAAGGTGATTGGTGGATTCAGACGCGATCTCTCCTCTGATAGGCTGAAGTGTGTTCGGGAACGGTGGCGGAGGTGATCCAGTCAGTGGCGAACGGAGCTGATGGCTGCATCTTCTGCTTCGGACACGCTAACCTGGGTAACTACCCGACTCACTTTGTTCACAAAGACGATTAAACATTCACCCTCCTTTCTCTGACTCCGCCCCCTCCAGGTAAGACCTACACCATGATTGGTCGAGACTGCTCGACTCAGAGCTTGGGCGTGGCCCCTACGGCCATCTCATGGCTCTTTAAGGTGATGGAGGAGCGCAGGGAGAAGTCTGGAGCTCGTTTCTCCATCCGGGTGTCGGCGGTGGAGATCTCTGGCCGGGAGGAGACGCTCACTGACCTCCTGGCTGAACTCTCCTCCTCAGCGGGAGGTCACCAGGAGGTGGCGCTGCGGGAGGATCCGGTTTGTGGATCACAGGTAGAGAATATTTCCTTCCTCCTCCCCTCCGTGACCTCCTCCTCACCCCCGGGACTTCATCACTTTCTACAACTGTCCAATTAGTCCTGATCTTCCTCGTTGGTATTCATTGCTTTATCTCCCTGAGCTCCTCTGGCCCGCCGTGCTTTTATCTGAGCTCGTTTAATTTTCCTTTTCTGTCACCACCCTCCCCTCTTTTATCAAACCCCATTCTGTCTCCTTCTGCCTTTTATCTCTCCTGAGCTCCACTTCCAGCCTTCGGCGGCTGGAAGACGGAGACAGTTTGGGTTCTGCGTTCCACATGTGGAGCTTTATCTGAACCTGAGTTCAGGTAAAGTCTAAAGTTCTTCAAAAGTGGATTCATCACAACTTCTTCTGTGAATGATTCCACGTTGTGTTTATTCCACGTCTGTGACAGCTTAGGGAAACAGGAGCGGAGATGGAATCATCATGGGAACTTGAGGTGTCTCAGACATTCCTGTTTACAGCTTTCCGTGTTCCCTTTGGTTCTCTTTCCGTCAGCTCCAGAACCAGACGGAGCTTCGGGTGACCAGCGCCAAGCGGGCCGCGTTTTTCCTGGACGCGGCTCTGGCAGAAAGGAAAAGCACCCGGACGCCTAACGATCAGGAAGCTCGTAGAAACTCCCACTTCCTGTTTACACTTCACCTCTACCAGGAGAGGCCGGACAAGAGCAGCAAGGCAGCAGGTTTGTGTCTGAGGGTTCAAGTCCCGGGGTGGAATAAGTCTCTACCATCAAACATGAAGCCATGTTGAGCTGGAAGCCCCACCCACCCCACCCCTGTTTAACTTCACACAGTCAAGGTGTTTTTTAAATAATTCATTACAGCTGAAGGTTTTAGTTGTTGTTCAGCCCAGTACTACACCGTATGAACCGAGTACTTAAAAAGAAGTACCTGTACTTATCGGCAGGTAGGCTGACGTGACAGGAAGACGAGCACACACACACGGTTTAAATACCTGAGGATGATCAGAGAGACGAGGGAGACACCAGAGGCCGCAGGAGCAGATCCGCACAGGTGTGCTTACCTGTCGTCTCTGGTTATTGTTGAAGCCAGAATCTCACAGAGCTGCTGCTGTTGGAGACATCAAACACAAAAAGACTTCTGCAGGTGGGACAAGTCGTGTTTGAGTCGTGTACGCTCTCGCCGGGTTAGTTAGCAGACCTCACCTGCATCTGGGCTCCTGTTGTTTCTGTTTCCTGTTGCTCTTCATCTTGTGGGATGAAAGGCCTTCTGTTCATCCTCACAGAACAAAAATCTAAAAGTGGAGCAGAAATGATCTATTCAATCAAACTGAGGTGATTTTTTTTTGCAACGTTAAAACAATCTCACAGATTTAGTTGGTTAAGCAGATGAACGGAGTCAAAGTTTGACTTTGAGCGCGTGCAATTTTATTTTATACTGAGAGGCTTCCTGCACCATGTAACCGGACGCCAGCAGGTCCTGAACCTGTTGCATCAGGTTCAAACGTGTGGAAACCTTTAAAAGCATAAAAACTGGAGTCGTTTTCCTCCTCAGACACAAACCTAAACTCTGAATGACCGAGAAAGCTGCAGATGAAAGCTGGACAACTGGGTGTAAGGATGAGTCTCATCAGGACCAAACGGCTCCTGGAATGCTCTCCAGCAGGAATAAATCCCGCAGCTCTCCCTCCGTCTGCTTTCTGTTTCCAAACATGAATCTGCTAATTAGCTCCATCGTGTCCAACAGAATCGTTTACAAGCCGAGAGGCTTCGCTGTCGCCACCTCCGCCCACGTCCACCCGTCACAGCAGAAACATTCCCATGGTTATCCGTGCTTTATGGCCTCTGGAACACATCTGCATGGCTAATGAGGCCGGGTGGCTCGCGTCCTGCTGCGTTTATGGAGCGCCGGTGCTGAAAGTGAACACTCAGCTGCTCTCAGCACTTTCTAAATCCTGCTGATGTGAGCTGTTGAACTTTCACACCCTCATTACTCTGAATTACTGAAATAAACAGGCCGTTCAGGTGATGCTGAACGTTTATCAGAGCTGCTCGGAGGCGCCGCGCCAGCGTGGACACAGCTTGATTTTATCGAAAAAGAAGAGACTTAATCGTGGTTCTAGCGATCTGGGTTCTGGCCGCGTAGAACTTTATGGTTTTGGACTCGTTCAGATGAAGAGAGTTCACAATAAGAACATTTTAAAAGAAACTCACTGAATGTTTCTAAGAAACACCTGAAAACAGGTAACGTCAAACCACATCTCAGGATTAGTAGCTTCATCAGAAACCTGCCCCATCCAGTCAGACATGTCTGCTGCCCCCTGGTGGAGGATCTGCAAGTGGAAAGGGCCAATTTTATTCCTTTATTACGTGTTCTTTAACTACATGATAAAGGAAAACTGGTTGTTATATTAAATTAGTTCAGTTTTAAACAAAATTTCTGACATTTATTCACATTTTCAAGCATCACATTTTAACCCTTTAACTTCTGCACAAGAAAAAAAATGCAATAAAGTTTATTTAGCATCTTTATCCATCTGGAATAATAGAGTTTATGTATTTATATAAGACATAATAATGATGTCACATATATGTAAATGTAGAATATTTATACATTTAGGGGTTTAATGGTAAACATCTTCACATTTTTGATATTTTCGTGGTTTGATGGTTGTTTATTTCCTGTTTCTGAGGCTGATTTCAGTTCCTGTTTCCTAAAGATACACAAACTAATGCTCCAAGTTAAAAGACTTGTTTACTGGTGAGACTTGACTCTAAACTGGGATTTTCCTGACTTTGACCTTTACTGAGGACTGGTCAGACTGGTAGACCAGAGCTGACGCTGATGGTGGCGTCACTTCCTACTCTGTTTATCCGCGGGCAGCAGAGGACGTTGTCACCCTCTGCTGCCCGCTCTCCCCTCTCCGATGATGCAGTCCCATGCACGATCCAATGTGTAGACCCCATCGTCTTTGTTCCCCCAAACTGCTAAATAAAACTATGGAAACGCTACGTAGACGACATACTGGAAATCATGCCAAAAGGTCAAACAGAGACACTAACACAACACTTGAATAACATTGACGACACAGGCAGCATAAAGTTCACTTATGAGACAGAAACAGAAGGCAGTGTAGCATTTATGGACATGGAAAAACCAGGCAGACCGACGGGACCCTAAACATAAACACATACAGGAAACCAACACACACAGACCAATATCTATTATGGACATCAGAACACCCCACCATACACAAAATGTCAGTAATCAGAACACTATATCACCGAGCAAACACGGTAACAGAAGAAAGAGACCGTAAACAAGAGGACAAACAAATACAACACACTTTAAAGACCTGCGGATATCCGACATGGGCAATAAACAAAGGAAAACAACAAACAACAACAGAAAGAAAGAAAAGAAGAACCAAAGCAAAGAACCAGAAACCCAGAAAGACAAGAACCAAAACCAGTGATAACCTTACCATACATCAAAGGCATAACAGAAAAAATAAGAGCAACAATGAAAAAACACAACATAAACACACCAACAAAACCATACACAACAGAAATGGGCCATTCCCATCTGTACCGGGTCGGCCCGGGCCGGGTAGCCCCAGTCGGCCCCAGCCTGGCCCGGTTGATTCCACACATCCTTGTCTTAAGCCCATGTGGGCTGATTCTACCCACCAATCAGAGGCTTGCTCTAATGGAAGGTGTGAATTTGCTGTCAGCAGTGGGTGTGTTGGCCCTGGTCGGCCTGAAGCAGACCCCCTCAAGAAGAGGGCTGAGAATAAGTCTTGGTTGGCCCGGAAAAATACCAGGCCACCCAGATATGTAAACAACCTACGCTACCCGGCCCGGGCCGACCCGGTACAGATGGGAATGGCCCATTAGAAACAGACTAGTACACCCATAAGACAAGATACCAGCTGGACTTAAATGTGGAGTCGTTTATGAAATCCCACGCAAACTCTGCAATAAAACATACGTAGGAGAAACCGGACGCCAACTCAACACACGAACAATAGAACATAGAAAGGAGTGAGACAAAGAAACAAGTCGAAAACACACAAGAGCAGCAAAACAAGAAGCAGAAAGCACAATAAAGAAGTCAGCCGTAACAGATCACTGCACAGGAGAAAACCATGTAATGGACTGGGACAACACAAGGATCATAAACACCGAACAACAGAAATACAGAAGATGGATAAAGGAAGCTATAGAGATAAGGAGACGTGGACGTGGGACCATGAACAGAGACGATGGGGTCTACACATTGGATCGTGCATGGGACTGCATCATCGGAGAGGGGAGAGCGGGCAGCAGAGGGCGACAACGTCCTCTGCTGCCCGCGATAAACGGAGTAGGAAGTGACGCCACCATCAGCGTCAGCTCTGAGGATAATTGCAGCTGCGAACGAAACGTTAGCAAGGTAAAGAAAAACCTTTCCTGTGTTTAAAAAAGAACCAAAAATGGAATTAGAAACTAAACACAGCAAGAACGTATAAAAGATGGTAAACCAGAGCTTCTGTCTTTACTATGTTGACTTCAGCCTTACTTCAGGACTCAGAGTTCTTGTCTTTAAATTGTCCTGTTTTTATTTTATTACTAAATTTGGGATTTGACTTGAGACATGTCTCATCTCACCCCATCCTGTCTTGTCCTGCCCTGCCTTGCCCCGTCCTGTCCCATTCTGTCCCATCCCACCCCATCCCATCCCATCCTGTCCTGTCTCATCCCTGTAGAAGCTCCTTCCTGTGAGATCAGAGCTGAATCTTCTAGATGTTCTGACTCCTTCCTGTAGATGAACTCATCCCTACTGGTGGGTAGTTTCGAGGTTTAGCTGAACAGAAATGTTGTTTTAATGTTTCCGTGTCTCAGTGTCCGGCCGGAGTCGTCTCCACCTGCTGGACCTGGGGAGCTGTGAGACGGACATCAGCAGGACCCGAGAGGGGGGTGGAGGCCTGTGCCTGTCTCTGTCGTCTCTGGGAAACGTCATCCTGGCACTCGCCAACGGGGCCAAGCACGTTCCCTACAGGTGTGTGTGTGTGTGTGTGTGTGTGTGTGTGTGTGTGCGTGCGTGCGTGCGTGTGTGCGTGTGTGTGTGTGTGTGTGTGTGTGTGTTAAAGCTGATTGTTGGGCGTTTGTTATTCAGGCTGGTTGACCCTCTGCAGCGACGTTCCCTCTTTGGGTTTTCATCATTTTAAGGAAAGTTGGAGGCGCTCCTCACTTTAAATCAGCTGCTTTGATCTCATTCTAACGTTTTAAACCTCCTCTCTGGTTTCTGCTGAAGCATCAGTGAAAGGAGGCTAGAGGTCACATCGTCAGTATCCGCTAGAAACCATCATGTTTCACAAATCTGCATGAAGCAAGTAGAGCTGTTTGGGCCTCAGGAGGCAGAGAAAAGCTCAAACTCACAGATTTCCAGCTTTGTTGTGGAAGAAAGAGTCGCAGCAGCGGTTCCGACTATAGTGTGTAACTCCAGAAGACTATCCCGATCCCAGCTCGCTCCAAGTCTGTTCAAAGGCAGCCTCTCCGACTGTACGTCTGGATCACACGTGGCGTGAAGTTCAAAGCGTGCTTCATGAATCTGAGATGAGACTGTTCATAGCTACTGTTGTGCGGGGTAATGAACGGTCTCGGGGTTCCTGCGGGGTTTCTCGGGCCTTCCCCCCCTTGGTTCTCCAGAACTAACGAAGGTTCTCTGATGTATTATTCAGGGACAGCAAGCTCACCATGCTGCTCAGCGAGTCTCTGGGGAACATCAACTGTCGAACCACCATGATCGCCCACGTCTCCGACTCACCGCTCAACTTCATGGAGACGCTGACGACCGTGCAGCTGGCCTCTCGGATCCACCGCACGAGGAAGAAGAAGTCCAAAGTACTTCATCTTTTCTCCAGGTTTTATTTCTCCAGCTTGGGCTGTTGGAGTCATTTAGAGGGTTTAGTTCCATAAGCGAACCGAAAAGACTCAGATGTGGGTTTTCTGATGATTTGTTGTAAACGTTTAGACTCAACAGTTACTTACTCAGTCCCAGAAAAGGTCATGAAGACAGACGTTTCAGGGACAACAGCAGAATCAGCTGGTGAAGCTTTTGGTGAACATGTTTAGAAGAATCGGGTTTTTCGACAGATTCGTGTTCTCCTCTTTGTGTTTAATCGTTAATAGAAACGCTACAGAGCAGAGCTGAAGGTCTGCATCACATCTCATCTGTTAGATCCAGATTCTTTAACCTTCCGGCTCCACACTGACTGACTCACACACGACCTGCAGCTCCTCTCCTCACCCTCGTCAGCTGGAGGAGGTCATGAATCCGCAGCTGTAACAGTTGTTTTCCTCCTCTCAGGACACATAATCAATACTGGTGTTTCCAGAGGGATGAGAGACACCATCACATCCACGGATCAAGCAACACATTCTCACTCCCAGCGCGTCAAAAACAAACGCTCGGTCAGCCACCCTCCGCCTCAGACCCCTGACGCCAAAAGTGCCTTTTTCGTTACTTATGTGCGAAAAGTTTTTTTTTCCCTTTTCTGACTGCAGATCCCAATGCAGCGTTACACTGACGCGATGGGATGTCTGCAGCCAGGGCACCAAACAAGCTCATTGTACCTCACCCTAACCTCATCCTCTTATTTAACCTTCCCCTCACCCTTATCCTAACCTTAACCATCTTGCTAGCGAACACGTTAGTGATGTGTCGGTCGCTCTAAAAGCCGACTCTATGAAGTGAACGGCGGGAGCCGCCTCGTCATTGGTCGGGTTTGGACCGAGCCAACGCGAGGGAGAGGTTTCAACTACCACGGTGGAGGTTAAAAGCAGAGGGCATTTGTAGCCTCCCCCTCGCCAGATGGTATGTTCTAACGTTCCCCTTGGGCGGCAAATACGAAAATTCACAGTCAGAATGCATGGGAAACAAACGCTTGATCACAGTGAGAGTAACGTTTTAGGTAGCAAGAGGGTTAAGGTTAGGGTGAGGGGAAGGTTATAAATAGCAAAACGTTAAGGTTTAGGTGCGGTTCAATGAGCTGGTTCGGTGCCGCATCAGCGGACATCCCATCGCGTCAGTGTAACGCTGCACTGGGATCTGCAGTCAGAAAAGGGAAAAACTCCTTTTCGCACATAAGTAACGGAAAAGGGCACTTTTGGCGTCAGGGGTCTGAGGCGGAGGGTGGCTGACCGAGCGTTTGTTTTTGACGCACTGGGAGTGAGAATGTGTTGGATCAAACTGACAACGGCCTGCACACATATTTCATAAACAGGACGAAGACTTGAAATGTTGAAAATTGCTGCCAACAAGTTTAATCCAGGCCAATCTGTGACCCTTTAATCCTGACCGGATGCCGCTAACACCAGACTTGGACTTCCTGTCAGGTTGGTCTTTGTTGTTAATCTCCTTGTTTTGTCTCCAGTACGCTTCCAGCTCTTCTGGAGGAGAGAGTTCCTGTGAGGAAGGACCATCCCGTCAACCCTTCCATCCTCGGATTGTGGCTCTGGACCCGGAGATGTCCCTTCCAAGTGATCCCGACTATTCCTCCAGCAGTGAACAGTCCTGCGACACGGTCATCTACGTTGGGCCTGGAGGGACCGCCATATCCGACCGTGAGCTGAGCGACAACGAGGGCCCGCCGTCCTTCGTTCCCATCATTCCCTCCCTGAACAAAAGGCGAGTCAAGGATGCTCCCAGGTCAGATGGGGATCATCTGAAGTGCAACACATTTGCGGAGCTGCAGGAGAGACTGGACTGCATCGATGGCAGTGAAGGTCCTGCCACCTCCAGCACAGAGACCCGGACGGCGGGTGCTGCTATAGCCACGGAGGACACACCTCCACCCAGAGCTGATAAAAACTCCGTCCAGACCCTCCATGGACCGGATCGGGGAGAACCCTCGCTCTCAGACACAAGTCCCATAGATCCCTCCAGAAGGACGAGCGCAGATGGGGAGAAACTTTCTGCTCCTCTCATTCAGCCGTGTTTGGTGAGGTCCAGAGTTACCTTTGCCCAGGACTCAGAGCCCGTGGTGAGAGAGAAGGTTCGAGCAGATGTTCCTAAACCATCACCTCCTCAGACCTCAGCCCAACCCAGGACATCATCTGAGTGTGGAGAGGCTCCGAGCAGGACTCCCCCTGTAGGAATGAGCTTTCAGGCTCTGAGGCAACCTCTTGTTCCCATCGACATGGGGAGGGCCCGTCTGACCAACAGACCTCCCGTAGAGCTGAGCGGCGTTCGAGCTGCGTATTTAGGAAGGTGCCTGGACAGAGACTTCCTGAGGACCACGGTCACCCTGCAGCAGCCCGTGGAGCTGAACGGGGAGGACGAGCTCGTGTTCACCGTCATCGAGGAGCTTCCTGCTGGCCTCATTCCGGACAACGGGCGGCCCTCCAACCTCCTCAGCTTCCATGCTGATTACTCCCAGCAGGCCTCGGCTGCAGGCTGCCGCCCAGTCAGCATCATCAGCAGCATCAATGACGAGTATGACGCGTACACATCTCAGCAGGGATCCGACGGGCCGAGCTACCACAGACCGCTCGCCGCTCCGAGCGAAGGCAGCAGTTCAGCACACCGGCGTCTCCTGAGGGAGGAGAACACGGCAGCAGAGAGCTCCTCCTTTCTGAGCTCACCGGGAACGTTTCATAGACAGATGCTGCTGCAGCATGGTCTGAAAAGCTCTCTGAATGACAGTGGGGTCTGTTTCTCCGAGCTGGACAGCGACCCCACCACGCCTAACAAACCCTCCTTTACCATGTGCCCTCCTTCCCCTGACTCCAATAAAACCTCCTCCGAAGGCTCCCCTAGGGGGAGAGCCAGCGCCCTGAACATGCCAGTGCCAGCCCAGATCCCACTTTATTCCTCCCACTCAAGTCTTCCCAGGAAAAACAAGCCTACCTCATCTGCTCCTGTGGTCTGCAGCAGACGGGAAGGCAGACATGAGAGCCTTTTGCTTCAAGGAAGCAGCTTTGTTGATCCCAGAGAGGCCGAGTTTCTCTCTGCAGGTAAGTCGCTACGAAGTGGCACAACTACCATTTCCTCCAGGAAGTCTGGAGCGAATAGCAACAGTGTACCTCGACCTCCAAAAGCACAAGCATCATCCTCGGCCCAGAGGGTCGTGGATGGTTGTGAGAACTCCACCAACCGGAGAGCAGACACTCTCATCCGGTTGCCACGGCTGACTCGAGGTGCAACGACTCTGGGGACTGTTTCCATCCCTCAGAGCTCCGAGTTGAAATGGGGACATGAAGGTTCCTCTGTGGCTGGAACGCTGAGGTTTTCATCACTGGGAAAAAAGTCAAGTGGACAAAAGGGTGTCTCCAAGTCTGGATCAGCGAACATCTCCCCTCCCATTCCACCCGTCAGACAGACCAGTCAAGAACAAAAGACCAGGTCTCCAAGTGCCTTCAGGACGAGCAGCGACACCAGAAAGTTTACTTTCCCTAAAACTTCAGCTTCCGAGGAGGAATTCACCGTTAGGTTGCGAGCAGATTCATTCAGCCACAGAACGTCTAGTTTAAAGATCGATCACGGTTCCCCCAGGACATCTTCTAGTCTGAAGACTCGAGGGGCTAAAACAGATCCTTCCCGGTATTATGGAAGCCTGATGTCTCTGGAAAAATGTGGCAGTCCAACCTCATCTAGCTCAAAACTCGGAACTGTTCCTGCATCAGGGAGCAGTGGCAAAGCCAACAGATCGGTCCCAAAAGTCGACCTCCCAGCCCAGCCCCAAGTCTCGTCTGCGTTTAAACTCGGACAGATCCGCGGCACCAGCAACTCTAGGGCTGCAACTTCTCCTGGAGTGAAGGTTCAAGCACTGTCAACCAGCAGCTCTAAAGGTCCAAGTTCCTCCCAGAAGCCCCTTGATAACTCAGCTGCTCGCAGTCCCAGCCTGGACCCCGCCGGCAAGCCTCCTGCTCGTCTGGGGAACGGGACCAAGATGGGGAGAGGCACCATCATGGACATGAAGCAGGCTGTCAGCAGGGCGGCTAACAGCCGGGTCAGCGAACTAGCTGCTGGGAGGAAGCAGCTTAGCAGGGAGCCTGGAGAAAACCAAAGCTCCGACAGCGTTAGCGGCTCACCGCTCAACACGCCTCTGCCGTCGCCCTACAGCAAAATCACGGCGCCTCGTAAGCCACAGCGCTACAGCAGCGGGCACGGCAGCGACAACAGCAGCGTCCTCAGCGGGGAGCTGCCCCCCGCCATGGGGCGCACCTCCTTGTTCTACCACAGCGGGGGCAGCAGCGGCTACGAGAGCATGATCCGAGACAGCGAGACGACCTGCAGCACCTCGTCAGCTCACGACTCAATGAGCGAGAGCGGCGTGTCCTCGTCCAACAGAGGCAGAGTGTCCAAATCGCCCAAGAAGAGAGGAAATGGTGAGTCCAGGTGACAAAATCTAGATTCCTGTTAAAGTACTTCAGATCTTACTGCCATAGCATGTTTATTTACAGGACAGGACAGAGCGCCTTCTACAAGAAGACCTGTCTCATCCTCAGCTGTACCTCCAGAGACACGTAGAAACAGTCTTTACTTGTTATTATTGAATTCTAATGTTACAAAGTAAACAGAGTCAGTGGTAGAGTTGTGTTGCTGTTAGCCAATCAGAAGAGAGATGTCTGAATATCAGGAAGTAAGAGTCCAGATGCCAGAAGCTCTGGATAACTTCTAGATCCTGCAACAGGAGCATTCATTTATACCAGAGATATCTGTAAATGTGAGAGAGCTTGGTCTTTAACCAAATGAAACCAGTTGCAGTTGTTCGGTTATGTTTAAATGTTTTCTGTTGTGAAGCTCCAGCCTCTTCCGGCTCCGTTTCATGTGTTTTTATAGCCTGAGCGGTTATGATGGAGAAACCAGCGTGGAACCCTCATGAAGGGCTTTGATTTTTTTATCAGCAGCAGTTATTATTGAAATGAGAGGTGATAGTCTGAACCCACATTCAGAAACTTGATTTATTGGCTCAGAAAGGAAAAGAGCCATAAAAGTCCTCCCTCCTGGAAGCCGTGGGGGGAAATTAACATATTTATGGATTTCTCCCAAATGTGCTCCCATCTACTGGAGTGAGCTGATGGGATGAAAGTGGCTCCTCACTTCTGCGTTTCCACCAGTGCTGAGCACAGGTGTGACGGCTGCAGGAGCACCAATCAGAGGCTTCCGTAATGTCTGAGCGTGTCAATTCATCTGGCTCAACACCCTCGCCTGTTATTTGTGACGACGGTCCCACCTCCCTGCAGCTGATTGTAATTCACGCAGAAGGTCGCGGGTCGGGCATCAGCGCGTGAGAAATCAGCCGCCAGTCTGAGAATCCTCCTGCTGCATGAATCATTCATGAGGAGTACACATCCTAGTTCAATTACCTCCCCCTACACACACACACACATACATCACACACACACACACACACACACACACACACACACACACACACACACACACACACACACACCCACACACACACACACACACACACACACACATACATACACACACATACACACACACAAACATTACACACACACACACACACAAACATTACACACACACACACACACACACACATACATACACACACATACACACACACAAACATCACACACACATACATACACACACATATACACACACAAACATCACACACACACACACACTCTCTCACACACACACATACATACATACATACACACACATACACACACACAAACATCACACACACACACACATACATACACACACATACATACACACAAACATCACTCACACACACACACACACACACACACACACGCGCACACACACACACACACACACACACACACACACACACACACACACACACACACACACGCACACACACACACACACACACCTACATACATACATACATACAAACACACACACACATACATACATACACACACGCACGCACACACACACACATACATATACACACATACACAAACACACACACAAACACACACACACATACACAAACATCACACACACACACACACATTACCACAGGCGTGCACTTACACACAGAAGGGCACACACACACACATACATATACACACACACACACACACACACATACACACACACACACACACACACACATGCATACACACACACATTCACACAGGCGTGCACTTACACACAAAAGCGCATGCATACACACATGCATGCATGCACGCACGCACACACACACACAAACACACACACACACATGCACACACACACACATAATCAAACACACACACGCATTCACACACGCGTGCATTTACACACAAAAGCACATGCATACATACACATACACAAAAATCACACACATCACACACATCACACACACAAATATCACACACACACACACACACACACACACACACACACACACATCTGGGTGTAACCATCAGTAATGGCTGCCATCATTACCTCCTGATGACTCATGTTTTTTAGCCTCTGACGGATTTAAAAATAACTTTTATTGATCAGACTCACTAAATTACTGGTGAGTGAAAATAACTCGTCACACAAATCTGAAACATCCTGGTTTCTATTTAACCTTTAAACTATTTCATGTTTTACTTTAAAGCGATTTCATCCCATAAACTCCCATAAGGTCCACATCTAAATACCAAGCCTTATAAACAAAAAGAACATATTTTACATTTAAATCTAATCATTTATGGTATTAATGTTTAATTTGGTCATTTGACTTTCAGACAGAAAAAAATGGCAAAAATCAAAAACATTTTTAAAAGACATTTTTAGTTCAGTGAAGTTTCCCAGTTGGTGAAAATATGAATAAAACATCTGTTTGGTTTCCATATTAAACTGCTGCTCCAACCCTGAGGGTGGAACTCTCATCCGTCTGATCGGACCTGAAGCTTCACACATAAAAACTCTAAATCATGGTCAGGTGACATCATAACATCATCAGCAAAGAACTAAGACGTTTCCTGTAAACAACATCAGGAGTTAGGTGAGCCAGGTGAGGAAGCCCCGCCCCCTCCGGTAGAAACATCATCATCCAGTCTAAACGGGTCACTCTCTCGTCAGACAGGTAAAGGTGTGTGAGACTACTGGAGGACTGATGGTGTCATCTCAGGTCCCACGGCAGGTTTAACCTCCCCGTGTCTCCATCAGACCCAGTAGAACCTCCAGCGCTCCCCAGTAGAACCATCAGAACTTCTAGTTTTCACCAGCAGCTGTTTTAGGTTAGACCTTTATGGAAGACGTCCGTTTGGACCCAAATATGTTTTTGTTTCTTTTCAGGCAGAAATCCAACCAAAGACCTTCTGTAGGTTTGTATTTTTCTCTGAGCTTCATCATCAGGTCGCTTCCTGTCTTCCAGGAGGTTTCCTGAGGCGGCGGCTGATCCCAGCTCCACTTCCCGACACCTCGTCTCTGGGCAGGAAGGCAGGGAATCAGTGGGTGGACCTCCCCCCATTGGGCGGCGCCCTGAAGGAGCCGTTTGAGATAAAGGTGTACGAGATCGATGACGTGGAGTGTCTGCAAAGGAAGAGGGAGGCAGTGATGGGCTCAGAGGTGAGAGGGAGGAGGATGAAGATGTTTGCTCTGGTAGACCTCAGCAGCAGAGCACCGGTCTGAGAGTCAGACAGAGGAAAAGAGATTTATTTTCCCTCTGTGAGAAAAGATGGAAGAGTTTAGATGTGAGAAGGATCTGACCAGCTTCTCTGCTCCTGTGTCCCTCAGCAGCCGTTCCAGGATGTGGAGAAGGTGAGCATCACCTCACAGCAAAACACACTTCTACATGATACACATGCCGGGCCAGATCCTGGGTCCTGTTCTGGTTCTGATGGGTTTGATTAGTTTCCAGCTGTACCTGCAGACAAGTGCTGGGTGATCCACCTCTACCCTCTAATCCTCCTGCAGATTAACTCGACAGATTAATGCTAATTTTAGCTCCTTCTGACTCTTAATTAAAACCATCTGTGAGAACGCTCTGAGCCTGTTTGGGCTCCTGGTTCTGTTCACGGTTATTCGTTTCCCGTCCACAATTTGTTCAGTGGCATTCTGGTTCTGACCCGGCATCCATTTCTCTTCAGGGTCTGCTCTACTTTAACGTCCGGCTGAGGATGCTGGAGAAGCGTCAGCAGCAAATCCAAGAGCTGAGGAGCAAATATGAGCAGCTGAGGGCGGAGCTGGACGAGGCCAAGACCCGGCTGATGCTGCACCCCAGCAAGTGGAGCGGAGAGTGTGAGTAGAACCCGTAGAACCTGCAGAACACGTAGAACCTTTAGGACCTGTAGAACCTGTTTTATGCATTTGTACTCCTTCAAATTCTCAAAATTATAAATAGCAGCACAGATAAACAAGTAAACAAAAACATTTTATTTTGACAAATAAAACTTTTTTATGCAAAAACAAACTTTCTATCTTCTGATCCTGAAGTTTGGCTCTGATCAAACATCCAGTGGTTCTGACCCAGTTCCCTCTGCAGCACCAGGTTCTGGAGCAGATCCAGGATCAGTGCAAACCAGACAGACCCTTTAGGTGCTCGCGACACAAAGCAGGTGTATGTGTGTGTGCGTGCGTGCATGTGTGTGTGTGAGTGCGTGTGTGTGTGTGTGTGTGTGCGCGTGTGTGTGTGTGTGTGTGTGTGTGTGTGTGTGTGTTTGCTTGATCAGAGGGAGAATGGACGACGTTCCCAATCTTTCATTGTTACTCAGTCAGAGCATCAGACTTCCAGCTCACCTTGCAGGAAAATGCTGGAATCTTCTGGGATGACCCTCTGCAGGAGGAAGATGAAAGCAGAGACGGTTTTCCCTCTCGGTCAAACCCGTCAGCTTTGATCTTTGTGTCTGAGAGACGAGAGGCCAGTTGGAGCGTATCCCAGCATGCACTGCTCCATCACAAACAGTCACAGGATCAACAGCTCCCAGATATTAGCTGGCAGGAAGCCAGGAGGGCTCGTCTGGGTCCGGAAGGAGGAAGGATTCTTCAGCTTCGCCTCAGCAGAGTTAAAATAATGAGGAAAGTTTCCAACTCCAAAAGGAAGTTGGGCTCAACTCTTCTGGACGACATCCAGCTCAGACGTCAGCTCAGGTTCCAAACTTCTCCTGAAGTTTAACTTCTGCACTTACTCTTTACTGAGAGTCTTGTAAACAAACTTTATGAATTATCAAAAGTGGTGAACAAGCAAAAACTACAATCTATAAAACAGAACCCAAATAAACAGTAAAGTTACTTTAATAAAACTGTAAAAGTTCTGAGCTGATGGCTGATGAAAGCCTTGTTCTGGAACACCTCCTGCCATATCGACTCTTCAGATCTAATCTGATAAAACAACACAAGTAAACATCAACAGATGTTTTCTCTGATAACGGGCATGAATCATCAGAACCTCTGATCTCAGGAGAGGAGATGGAACACGCTGTCAGATCTCCGAGGTTCAGTGAACGCATCTGAGGTGATGAAGAGGAGGAGCTGACTTCTAATCTTACAGGGAAACATTTCTTCTACAGATCAGAACAGGAAGTTGTCTTTGATCCAGCTTTTAACCTGAAACCGTCTCTTTCTGGCCCCAACAGTTGATGTGGACCAGGACCTGGACCGGGAGTCCCAGGAGTACCTGGAGGTCCTGGCTCAGGTGACGGCGGAGCTGGAGTTCTGTGTAAACCTCTGCAAGTCACGCGTGATGATGGAGACCTGCTTCGACGTCGCCACGGCGATGCCGGAAGGCCAGCAGAGGATGTGATAGGAACCTGAACTCAGAAACCCGTTATGGATTCTGCTGGTCCTGGATCAGATCTGTCGAGACAAACTGGAAGTGCCTTTCTGTTTATTGTTATCTTTTACGTAAGATGTCCTTAATTATGTTTGTCTTATTTATGATTTTATGTATGGTTTTATTTATTATTTATGTTTTATTTATGGTATAATGTATGGATTTATTCATAATTTATGATTTTATATGGTTTTATTTATTATTTAGGTGTTATTTATGTTTTATTTATGATATAATGTATGGATTTATTTATAATTTATGATTTTATGTATGGTTTTATTTATTATTTAGGTGTTATTTATGTTTTATTTATGGTATAATTTATAGATGTATTTATTATTTATGATTTAATTTATGATTGTATTTATGATTTTATTGATTATTTATGATTAAATTTATGGTTTTATTTATTATTTATGTTTTATTTATGCTTTTATTTACAGTTTAATTTATGGTTTTATTTATTATTTATGACTTTATTCGTGGTTTTATTCATTATTTATGTTTTATTTATGGTTTAATTTATTATTTATGATTTAATTTACAGTTTTATTTATTATTTATGTTATATTTATGATTTAATCAATGGTTTCATTTATTGTGGTTTTATTGATGGTTTTATTTATTATTTATGGTTTTATTGATGGTTTATTTATGTTTTAATTACGGTGCTGATTTTGATACTCTTGTTATGCAACACCATGTTTTAGATGTGAGTGAGGAGATGAAGCAGCTGTTGGGTTTTAGCTCGACTCCAGATGAAATATTTCTGAAACGTCCTGCAGACGGCTGCGTCTGAAGCTTAGCGAGACGTAAAGGTCTGAAGATGCTCCTGAACATCTGCCTTCTCGTGTTAATGTTTGATATAGTGGTAAAACAAGCTGCTAACAGAGAACTAAACATCTGAAAGGGTGACAAATCACCGTTTGATCATAAGTAAAAGGATCCTGTTGCAGGAACCAAAGGACTCAGATGGCTTTACCTGGAGGACGTCCGTGTCTCCTGGAGACGTTTCAGGAATCAGCAGCATGTCCGTGACGTCCTGAAGCAGCAGCCTGCTGAAGGAAAACATGCAAATATGAAACATTTTAGTGTAAATATGCATCTATGTCTCAAGAGTAGTAATGCAGAGGTCCGCCTGTGTAAACATGAGCGACCCAACCCCATGTCCTCGTCCTCTTACCTCCTCCGTCTCCACTGGACCTCCTGAAGGCTGGAGGTGACGTCACCAACATCTGGAGACCGAACTGCAGCTGCATGTCTGATTAACGGAAACCGACAGGAGACTTCCTGTTTCTCTGATCATTTCCACCCATCTGCGTTCAAACCTTCTCATGCTCTTCCACAATCGGCTGCACGAATTCTTTTCTCTTTATGTTTGTTCTGAACTTTTGCTTCAAGCTGTTTTTCTCTGCTGATGTTTCACTTTTTATTAATTAATCCAGATGTTTTTTTATTCGTTTTTTTACTGTACAGTTTTCTATTCATTCTAAAGATAAATATGTTGAACCCTGGTTCTCTGGGTCCGTGTTCTGGGTCTGAGTCCATGATTTTCTGGATCCGTGGTTCTGGTTCCGTGGGTTGTCTTCTCTTGTGTGTTGATAAAATATGAAAGAGAAACTCAAGTTCCTGTTTGTGAAATAAAAATGGTTTTAAGGATCTTTGACAGCGTTTTTATTTTTTGACATTTTAATTATTAAACAACAAAACAGCTGATCAGGTTAATGGTCGAAGCTTCCTCTGCAGTAACGATCATAGCAAGAGGTAAAGAAAGGAGGGGTCATAGTAGAGCTGCTGCTCCTCCCTGTAGCTGACGTTAATAGGCTGCCTCCTTCTGGAGGTGCTGGTAGGAGACCTGAGTGCTGATCCAGAGGAACAGGGATTATAGATTCTCTGGTTCAGGTGCTGGAGAGAGTCTCTGAGATTGTCTCCTGGACCTGTCAGCTCCACAGCCTGACCTCGGAGTGAGTGAGTGTGAGCGTGAGAGAGACAGAGAGAGAGAGAGAGAGAGAGAGAGAGAGAGAGAGAGAGAGAGAAGGATGAAAGAAAGAAGGATGAGAGAGAGAGAGAGATAGAAGGATGAGAGAAAGAAGGATGTGAGAGAGAGAAAGAAGGATGATAGCTAGATAGAGATAGATAGATAGATAGATAGATGATAGATAGATAGATGATAGATAGATAGATAGATAGATAGATAGATAGATAGATAGATAGATAGATAGATAGATAGATAGATAGATAGATAGATAGATAGATAGATAGATAGATAGATAGATAGATAGATAGATAGATAGATGATAGATAGATAGATAGATAGATAGATAGATAGATAGATAGATAGATAGATAGATAGATAGAGCAGCATTCCAAAACATTCCGTCCCTAAATCACAGTTGAAGTGGCTTATGGTCGCCACGGTAACCAGGATGAAACCACTTTTAATCGACTCACTTGTGAGAAAATAAATGTGGCCAAAGAGGGGGACAGAAACAATTCATTCCCTTTTCATCTCTGACAGCTTTTAATTAGTTTGTCACCCGACCTGGTTACCATGGAAACGCTCTCCTGCTCTCACCTCAGACGTGTTTCAAGGAGGAGAACGAAGCCGGTTGACGTTTATAGAAGCAGAAACAGAAATACCTTTAAAACCTTGAATTCTACATGAATGTTTAGAAACAGAAACATGCTGAATGGATTTTACGTCTCAATAATCACAAACATGAACCTGGAGGCTCCTGCTGCTCATCACCTGATGATCTCTGCACAACAGCGATTCCTGACGGGAACGTTTTCCTGCAGCAGCATCACGACACGTGTCGTTTGTTTATCAAACACAGAAAATAAACAATCATCCGACCTGAAGTGAGATAAAAAACATCTTATAATTCACTTCCTGAGAGTTGGGATTGATGTTCAGCAGCGAAGCAGACGCTGCAGCTCATTAGCATAACGGAACGTTCCACTTCTGATTCTGGGAGGTTAGCAGGAACATCTGGAAGGCTGCCAGATTATTAACATCCTGAAGCTGTGTCTCACACACACACACACACACACACGTTTTATTTGCTGTTAGAAATTATAATTCTTTTGTAATTTTCACTAATTTTCTGCAGTTTTAGACAAATCTAAATGTGGGCGACAGTGGCACAGGAGTTAAATGCTCACCCTGTAATCGGAAGGTTGCAGGTTCGAGCCTCGCTCAGTTTGTCACTGTCGTTGTGTCCTTGGGCAAGACCTAACCCGCCTTGCCTGCTGGTGGTGGTCGGAGGGACCGGTGGCGCCTCTGTCAGTGCGCCCCAGGGCAGCTGTGGCTAATTCGTAGCTCATCACCACCAGGGTAGGAATGGGTGAGTGACTGATGTGTTGTAAAGAGCCTTGGGGGGGTTCTGTGACTCTAGAAGTCCCTACACCAAATACAGGCCATTTACCAAATGGTTACATAAAACAAACGATTTTAAACCACAGAGGAGTTATTTCTGGAGTTTTGATCATCGTTTGGTTTGTTGTTGTAATAAAGAGTAGAGCCTCGGAAACATCATGTTACAGAGCTTTTATTATCTGTAATTAGTGTGTTGTTTATCAGGATTTAAGCTTATGAAGCACGTTAGGAAAACTAAAATCAGGAACCTTTTATTCATTTAATAATATCAGGACTTTGTTTTAAAACGTTTCCTTCTTTTTAAAACTATTTTAATACTTTTACATTTACGGATTAGAGTTTTCTCCTCCTGCAGGTCAAAGGTTAAAGGAGGGATTGCTGCTGCTTCTACTTATTTATCAGTGCTTCAGTTTAAAGACTCGGTTTTACAAAGCTGGGCTGCGTTCCATTTAGAGGAAATTCTAAGTGGAATGCAGCCCTCGTCGTTTTAGCTCAGAGGTCGTCAGAATAACACAATGTGAGGGAAAATAAACTTTACAGATAATTTGGTTGTTCTTTAACTCACCAAGGTCTAATTAAATTAAACGTTTTCCTTTTTGAACTCCTGTAGGTTTTAGAAACGTTTGCATCCAACATCACAGGTGGACATTATCGAGCTCTGTTTCTCCAAGAGGAATAAAGCTGAAGTCCGTTTTACTTCCTGTTTCCAGTGTTTCGGGTTAAAACAGGCCACATTAGTTAATAAAACCCATTTAAAGCTGCTGACGTTCTGCGTGAGCTCCTAAAGCTCCTCTGCTGGTCCTGCTCCAGCCACCAGACTCATTACTTATTGATCACCTCTGCGGTGTGGGTTCTCTGAATGCCTGCGGGCTCTAAACGCAGCACCAGCAGGGATTTATTAGACAAACATCAATGAGACTTAATTATTCAAACAGCTGCAGGTGATTCCTCACCTCTGAGTCTTTGTTCAGCTGAGGTCGCCTCAGGTCGGGTGATCAGGGGACTAAAAGCTTCAGTGATGTCATCCATGACTTCAGAGGGTTTTAAATGAGCCAGCTGAGGTTGACATCTGTAAATGTGTTTGAAATACTTTAGATGCTTCATTAGAACAACATTAACACCCTCATCTCTAATGTGGACCCTCTCTCTGGTTCTACGTCGGCCCGGGCATACGACACCAAAGAGAACACGTGATCCTTGTATTAAAATTTCTGAGTTACTTTCTCTGTTACTCTGATTACTTTAAAAACACAGATTGGCAGGAAGAACATCAGCTGATTGGCTCTCAGCTTCCTGATTACTGGGTTTAAGCGGGTCAGAACTTCACAGCTTCCAGGTACTGAAACTAAAGTTAATGCAAACTCTCCAACAAGCTGGTGAGACATCAGCAGACATGAACTATGAAAGTGGCTTTTACCCACAGACCAGTAATCAGAGTAAAACCCGCCACGACCAGTAACCAGGTCCACACCCCTCGGAGTGAAGCACCTCGGGTTCTGATTTAAACACCACAGCTGTAGATGTTTCTGGGTGGAAACTAAACATCAAAGAAATCTGATTTGAGAGAAGAACTCGCGTGTGATCCAGCCGGACCTGCAGCAGGTAAACAGCTCTCACCTGGACCCAATCACATGTCAGGTCTGCAGTTTGCTCTCAGGTAAAACCTCTGCAATGGTCCTGGTCCCTGCACGGGGACACTTCTGCTACGGTCCTGGTCCCTGCACGGGGACACTTCTGCTACGGTCCAGCATGGTGACACTTCTGCTACGGTCCTGGTCCAGCACGCGTGTTACAAGCCAATTTACCGGGCTTGCTCCACTCTGCTAGA